CAATGGCAAGATCCTGTGGGAATAGACTTGACGGATACCATGGGATATGGCATTGAAGGTGTTGTGAATGAATCCGAGTCCGGTAATGGCAGACAGGAGGTTGATTCTAGGCCTGTGATCAGTTCGTTAGCATACGAGATTAGTCAGCCCCGCGTGGATGAGCTTTCAGTGCGTGTACCTATTGACTGGACATCTATCAATTACGGAATTGACATTTACAACACCGCACTCGATATTATTAAATCGTATTAATTATAAAAACATTTAATTTGAGGTTACTTGTGGTTGCTGTAGATTTTTGTAAACATTTATAAAAGCAGTTGTATAGATTCGAAACCAATGTACGAAACTGATTGGAGGGCGCTCAGATCAATGCCATGTCACATTGAAAGCTGCTGTCGTTTGTTGGATGGGTTCCAACCGCTATTTTGAGTTCCCAAATATTCTTTAAACAACTTGTTGTTAAACTGAAATGATTGTAAAATAATGATAATATATACAATCGATATCTTGTGTTTTTGTTTCACTCAGCGTGAGCTCTTTTATATATTATTTATAACTTATTTATTACTTCCAAACCTACAATGCGATGCGGAGTATGATTTCACTACTCTGTTTAGACGGAAATGAACAATGTGTTCAACCATTACCTCCGTGGTTCAACTATGTATTGTTTAGCGGCGATTAGATCGATACAAATTGACTTGGTGCCATGTCGCACATAGTGCCTCTAACACTAAACTAAGATTTAATTCTCATGAATGATTATAGAATTGAATAGAAAATATACACGAATAATGCTCTAGACTGTTAGAAAACTATTTATTTCACATCGCATGGTCAGCAAATTGAATATACAATGGCACAACAACTCTGTTGATGAGGTGTAGCCGTTATCTGTAATATACATGCAATATATGAACTATACTCAAAATGGTATGTCAAAATGGTATGTGCCTTACGTCACGACTCGAAACAGTCTTTTTTGCCTGATGTATTCATTTGCCTTCAATAACGTTTCAGTGGCTGTCATACTCTGGGTCTTGCCGATAACATTTTGGTTCAAAATCACGTATCTATCGTCGAGAAAACTCAAATTTTCAATTTTGAATAACAATGTTTTTGCCATTGGTCGCCATATTTGATACAACTAGGGAAATTAGTAGGGAAATTCACTCGCATTAAATTGCGTTCGCCGTGATAAGCAAAAATGTATTTCCACTAAAATACGTTCAAGATCTGCACTTTCTCGTAGCATAAACACGGGTTTACCCTAGCTTACTAAAATTAAAATATTATTGGGGTCACAGTCACTGTAGCTGCATGTCACAGCGGTAAGTAGTCTCTCACCTCTTGGTTATAATTGTCGTCCAAATAATTCACGTCCCAAATTTTGGATCCCTGGCGCCTCTACTAAATAAACTACACTACCACTGGGCTGAATCAATATCTCGACGAACGTTTCAACTGTTCACCCAATATCCATGTTTATTTGGTGATAAGAATAATTCAGCCCAGCGCTTAGATTTAGAGTGAATGGCTTTCCGAGCGGAAAAGGTCGAGATTCTCTGCAAATAATTGAGTTCGGGTTAAAAAAAATAAAAATGGGATCAAGAAACCGCCGATTTTTCGGCAGTTTTTTAAGGTGTTACTTGATTTTTATCTTTTCTAATGCCTGAAAGTTTAGCCGCAGTCAATAACGCATATTCAAGAGTATTGATATTTATTGCGACTAGCGTGAATGGGTAGCTTCGTTTCGACAATGAGCTGTTATCGCTGTAAACAATGTCAGTTAAATTATTCTTCAAATGCTCAGTCTATCTTTTTTTTTTATTTGAAAACAAATCCACAGCATCGAGTTTTGAAAATGCGATCGGATTCATTCGCTTCCGTTGAAATAAGTTGAAATTTATTTGCATTTCAACGAATTTATTTTTTTTTCACGTTATTTTAATCATTACTAGGTAATAATCAACAATCGTGAAACGCAGCATGACCGATCATTTGCTACTAAGTAATGTTAGTTGGGTTCGTTTTTATTTGAAACTTTTTTTAGAATATACTTCCGTTATAAAATGAAACAAAATAATTGTATTTGGCGCACGAGGTTCGTTAATGTGATTTTTGGGAGAAAGATGCGCGGTCTACTTTTTAATCCAGCAAGAACAAAATGTATAAAATTTAATAAATTGAATAGTGTCTTTTGTTTTGGGTGGTCCAACTGCCGGCGTTGATAATCGACGTAGGTGGATTTTTCAATGAAAATATAAGCTTCTAAAAATATTTGATGATAATTTTTGAAAAATTTGAACCCCAAATAAGGGCCCACCAGCCGTGAAACCGCCCAGGGCGATTTTTCGGATGGGCGAATTTACGGCAGAATCCGGTATTTGTTCCCCGGGAATCTGTCATGAATTTGTTTTTGCGTATCTGTTGACCGACTTAATTAGTTGATTATTAGCGAATTGCTGTGTTATGTCTGTCATCGTTTAGGCCTATTTGAAGTTTTGGACGGAACTTGGCTCAGTGATTTGGAACTAATTACAAGATAACCGTCGCTATTCTGACTACGATTTCTGACAGTTGGTATCCGTAGTTATTAATGTAGTGAACAATTAATCAAAAGATATGACGTATTCAGTACTTAGTGTGATTGGCTTTATTATTGAAGGTTACTTTTTACTGCTTTGTAATTGGTTAGTGTTTTGAAAAATGAATAAAGAGAGTTTTGAGTTGGTCTTGGGGAGTACAGCACGACAGACGCAGTCGAGAGTCCTGGAGTCCTGGAGAGTCTTGGGCGAGTCTTGGTTCAGCCTTGCGATAGTCTTGGGAATTTTTTCCCCAGGGCGCTGTGTCTTATAGAGTGCTCAAAAGACCTAAGACGAGAGTTGAAACGTATTTCGTTGTGTGTGTCTTATTTGACTGTAAAGTAAAAGTGGCTTTCCCGATCCCGCACCTCAAGGGGACGAGATAGAGAGACGAGACGAGATTCCCCCCTGGCAAGTGTGGAGAACCCCATAGAGAAGAAATTCCCCCCTGATAAATCTATAGTCAAGTAATACAAATGGTGTCACTATGCAGTATTTTTGGTGCCACTTTACATTTACAAAACATTGTATTGCAATGCATTACTAATAATGTAAATATATATAATACATTCCTTTATTTCATTGTTGACACTGAGTTATACAGTTTGTTACGTACATCAATTTGTCTATATTGGAAAACGGTTATGGGGATTATTATTAATTTCAATAAACAATATTCAACTGTTCTTTGCAACACCAATAAGATCATAATGGTAATAATGTTTATTGCTCTTTGGCACTAGGGGCATTATCAGAGCATGGGTCTTATTTTGGAACTCCTGCCAGAATGGTATTCCCAGAATAGCGCCCGTTGTAAAGAAACATAAAC